GAGAGAGAGAGAGAGAGAGAGAGAGAGAGAGAGAGAGAGAGAGAGAGAAAGAGAGAGAGAGAGAGAGAGAGAGAGAATATTTCATAACCTCGTGAAAAAGTGAAGATCGATTGAGGGAAATAAGAATGGAGGAAGTTAAGGTTCATTTATAAAGTTTTTACTGCATGATCTTAGATGGTTGCTGTATAACCTAATGACCTACTCAACAAAGTGCAAATCAGTTGACTTGGCAACCGGTAAAATGGTTACGTTTAAAACAAAATTTATAATGCAGATGTCAAATTTGAGACAAAAAAATAAACAATGTCTAATTAAATTTTTTATATAAACTTAATGTCTTTTATACTATTTTTCTTATTAATAATCGAATAATCACTTGAAAGATGGAAATATAATATAATATAGGATATTACAATCTTGTAAACAGGGGCGGACGCAGGAATAAGTAGCAGTAGGTGCACAAAAAAAATCCTGATAAAATATAACAAAAAAAAATTACGCGTGCATTAAACATAACAAACTATTGTAAACAAACTTCGTGAAGAGCAAATTGGTCTTTTCATGGGCAGGTTCTTGGTCTCTTGGAGTATTTGTTTCCGTGTTAGTTGTGGTTGTACAAAGTTTTGAAGGCAATATTACCAAAATTTCATTTTGAATTAATGCATTTTTATCAGTTCCATTGTTTAAAGCAAAATATAATATACAAATGCCAACTAATAAATGCATTTTTATAAGTCTATACATTTTACATTGAGAAGAAATTAAATAGAAAATGGTCACAAAGAATTTGAATATAACTCTGATATACCCAATTGTGAATGAAAATATATATTAAATATGAAGAATGTTGAAATGAATTTTAGCTCGTGGGAGCATACGTGTTCTAATGGAAAAAAAATGATTTTTTATCAAATGGTTGTCAAGTTAATGAAAAAGTAAACGATTAAATATAATAATTTTAAACATGGAGGAAAGTGATTTAGTTGAGTTTTATTCAAACGACTTAGTTTTAACAATGTATATTAACCAAGCGGTATGATTTTGTTGGCTAGAGATTTTTGAGGGCTCATAACCAATACTAAATAAAAGGAAAAGTGAATGTAAAAATAAAATGCTCTTACTTTACAGGTATGATTTTGTTTTGTTGGCAAAAAAGAACTTGACGTGAGTAAGATTTGAACTCGAGTCCTTTTCCAAAAAGAAAAACTCTAACCTGCTTCTTTGACCAACTTAGTCATCTCAACTTTTGATTATACATATGAACTATAATAATAATATCCTCGTTTCTTTATAGGTGCATAATAATAATAAAAAAGTTTTTTTTCTTTACAATAATATGAAAAAAATCCAGTAGTTGCCGGTTCAACCCCGTGCACCACTATAGATCCGCCCGTGCTTGTAAATAAGAAAGCTATTGACAATCATACTTTCGTTTATTCTATTCTCTCAATTTGTTAATAAATTTCTTCTTTTGAACCAATTTTAATTTCTTATCCAAGGTTTAAGGACTAGATTCTTATGCGGGGTTTAAGGACCTTTCTAGAACCACATTTTCCATCTGAAATCATCCACATAATCCCACTCGAAGGGGGACGTACCTTCACGAAACAATCTTTATCTTGCTGTCACGAGATTCATTAACCTTCGAGAGTTCCACCTGTAATCACCCCCTTCATGAATTCCATACTTTTTTCTCTCACATTTCACTTATTAATGCTTATCATGCTTTCCCCAGTTTAATCCGTGATTGCAGTTGAAAAAAATCACCTCTAAAAAATACTTTTTTTTTTACTTCATCGATCACAGACAGAAACCTCGACAGAAAGAGTTTTGTGAAATGGCGAGTCGAAACTTGGAGAAGATGGCTTCAATTGATGCACAGTTGAGGCTGTTGGCACCTGGTAAGGTGTCGGATGATGATAAATTGGTGGAATATGATGCTCTGTTGTTGGATCGATTTCTGGATATTCTTCAGGACTTGCATGGAGAGGATATACGCCGAACGGTATTCATCTTCTCCTTCATTTTCATTTAAAGGTTATGTTTGTTTTGATTTTGTTCTTGGACCTCTGCTACTTCATAATAACATTTTGTTACAGAGCATATACAACTTGAAGTTGTAATAATCACTTTTTACGTTGGAATGTTTGATGGATTCTTATTATTTAAGGAAGCTACTGCTTAGTAGTTATAGTCTACCATTTCGTAATGGTATCAAATATAAAACATATTTCTAATGAAATAATCAGGTTTGTTTTTTCAAAATATATACAATGTCCAAATAGGGAAAAAAACGAAAATTGAAAGGACAATTCTATAATCAGGCAATTTATAGTGCGTTCACTAAAAAAAAGTTGAAATTAGAATGATATGATAGAAAAACTTAAAGTAAGATGCTATAGCACACAAATAAATGGAATTTTCAAAATTCAAAATTATGACTAAATATTGAAATTCCTTCTAAGCACCTATTTGGATAAGACCATAATTTTCAAAATTCAAAATTATGACTAAATATTGAAATTCAAAATTAAGACCATAACGGAAGACATTTGCAAAAACTTCTAAATTTAGAGAAATGTTGAAATCCGAGAGAATCCTTGTCGTGCCTTTTTTCCACCTTTTTGGATAAGACAAAAAATTGCAGTTTCAGTATCAGTCCAATACATGTACAATAAGTTTTGTCTTATCCTGTCTGCAAAAGAAACAAGTTTGGATCTTTGTTGATCTTTGCTTCTTTGTGGGGCATAGGTGCAAGATTGCTATGAACTTTCGGCTGAGTATGAAGGTAATGTCGACCCTAACAAACTGGAGGAGCTCGGGAGAGTGTTGACAAGTTTGGATGCTGGGGATTCCATTGTTATGGCTAAGTCTTTTTCCCAAATGCTTAATTTAGCCAATTTAGCAGAAGAAGTTCAAATAGCATATAGGCGGAGAATCAAGTTAAAAAGAGGTGATTTAGCCGATGAGGCATCAGCACCAACTGAGTCAAATATCGAAGAGACATTCAAAAGGCTGGTGGGTCAACTCAAGAAATCGCCTCAAGAAGTTTTTGACTCTTTGAAGAATCAAACGGTGGATATTGTCCTCACAGCACATCCTACTCAATCCATCCGTAGGTCTTTGCTTCAGAAACATGGAAGGTCCGTATTTCCTCTGAAAAATATTATATTTTAAGTGCCACTTTTTTTTTTTTTAATAATAATTTTAGCTTAGTTATTATGTCATTTCATTAATCCTTGTAATTCATATATTTTTTATCTAGAGAAAATGTTTTAGGAGGTCACCCAGCTATAAAAACTGCAAAAGAAGCAAGTAACTTTATATTCAATGTCATTTACCACATGAAGCCAAAATAGTTAAAAATGATGAAAATATGCTTGAGCTATATCTGTTTAGTGATCAAAACATAAAATGTAAACTCTAAGTGCTTAATATTAATCAGGGATATTTTTTGTAATTGACACCAAAACCAGCCAAATAGTTGAAATTGAAAATACCCTGATCATAAATATATGGCGATCATTACTTAAAAAGTAAACTTCAAGTACTTTGTTATGAATAATGGTTATTTGTTTCATTTGTCGATAAAAATGAGGAAAATAACCCTGATCTGTTTTTTTATTTGGTGATCAAAATATAAAACGTAAAATTCAAGTACTTAATCAGAGGTGTTTTTTAATCATATTGGGCTGGATTTGGTGTATCCTCTTTGGCATTTATTATAGTTGAGTGGGCCTAAGACTTATGGAAATGTTGGAAGGCCTCTGTGGGCCTTTTCCTTTTTTCTTAATATAGTTTGTTTATTCTAATACCATGATATACTGCCTGAATCTTGTATAGAATTCGGAATTGTTTAGCCCAATTGTATGCCAAAGACATCACTCCAGATGATAAGCAGGAGCTCGATGAGGCTCTACAGAGAGAGGTATGTGTAGCAATTGATTCCGATTTTGTACCATGAGTTTTGTTAGAAGAGAATTAGGAGATTTTAATCATTACATGAAAGCAGGGTCTGCCCCACACTGGGGGTGGGTCCCTGCCCCCTCAAATAAAATAAGTTGTTTAGAAAAAATATTTTTGAATATTTTTATGTAATTTATTCCAACAAAAAGATAAAAAAATATATAGAACCACTTACTTTAATCACTAACAACATAGATAAATAATAGTACACAGATTCAATTTATCTAGGGTTAAGTTAAAAAATTAGCAACGTAAATAATTGATTTGTTATTATAACATCAAACTTTCATATATTATTATAGCATTTCAGTTTGGAAAATATACCAAATTATAGCATTGTCATTCAAATACAAATCAATTTTGCATTGCTACAGTGTCCTAATAAGAAGAAAAAAAATGCTATAATTGGGTAAGGTTTATCAAAAAACAACACCTTAAAAAATGAAAGTAGGAGGGTATAGTACACAAAGAAACGATCATATATTGCTATATTTTGCTCTTAGCCCATTTGTCTATGAATAATGAACATTGATGAATATTTTGAAGGTGTTTTTGTGCTATTTTCCCGCTACCACTGGTTAAGTTTTTGTATTGTATAGAAACAAATGAAAGTAGGATGTTATAAAAGCATCTTTAACTTAATTTCTTTTCATGTAGATACAAGCTGCATTCCACACCGATGAAATCCGGAGAACTGCACCCACTCCACAGGATGAGATGAGAGCAGGAATGAGTTATTTCCACGAAACAATTTGGAAAGGCGTTCCAAAATTCTTGCGTCGTGTTGATACTGCTTTGAAGAATATTGGAATTTGTGAAAGGGTTCCTTATAACGCCCCTCTTATTCAATTCTCTTCTTGGATGGGTGGTGATCGTGATGGTAACTATCTTCAACTTTAGATCTTAATTGTTGAGTGGATAAATGATGCTTCAAGTGGGGCTGAATGGAAGAAAATGCAATTTACTTTTATATATTTGTTCATGATCGCATACTACTTTAATTTTTTTATACTACGATATTGTACTTCAATTTCCTTTTTTTATAGAGACATTGTACATTGAAAAATCTACTCAGTTATAAACATTATAATTTCAATTTTTTTCGTATTTGCCAAGCTATGGCAGTGAAAATTGTTAATATTTGTACGACATTGCTATTACTAGGTAGATTTATCAAAGTACATTGTTGTTTCTTTCACTTAACCCTAAAATTTTTTTTGAGAAAATAACTGCACACTTAGGTAAATGAAAGGAAATAATAAATCTTGGCAATTTAAAAAAAAAAAATCAGACTTAATGTGGTAAGTCCCATTTCCATGACTTTCTTTATTTAGCTTGTTATTTATGTATTAAGTCAAAAGGAAAAGTTGTCTGTAGCATTCGTAAGTACTCATTTGACATGATTTCCTAAATATATCATATCAACTAAACTTGATCATGTTTCAGGAAATCCGAGGGTAACTCCAGAAGTTACAAGGGATGTATGTTTACTAGCCCGCATGATGGCTGCAAATCTTTACTTCTCTCAAATAGAAGACCTCATGTTTGAGGTAATAAATATCACTTTTTTGTCTCTTTGGTTTGCGAAAATGTAAAAAGAACATATGATGTTTCTGTTTTACTTAGCGGACTTAATGAGAACACAAACTTGATCCAATAAGCTATATATGCAGTGTTTCTTTTTGAGTTAATACAAAAATAACAACCTAATGGGGAAAATAAGGCAAATGAGGTTTTTCTCATCAACTCTCGACAATTTATAAGTTTATTGATTTTCCTTCCATTTACCCAGTTGTGTTGTCAGTTTGTCAAAGAATTTTGGAACATCATCTATCAAACAACACTTTATCCAGACAACAATAAATGGGGAAAAACAAGGCATCTATACTCTATTTTGCAAAGCAATATTAGACATAAGGTGGCAGATAGAATGTTTTTCACATTAATGTTTCCATAGTTCATTCAAAAGTGGACTTTCTTGTATATACGTATGGCATTTTCACAAAAAGCGATGGTTAAGTAGTTTGCAATGAAAAGTCATTTACTATCTTTTGAAGCATTAGTCACATGTTTATAGTTCAATGTAGTCCTTTTCTTCCTAAAATTGAACTTTCAAACTAAAATCTCAATGTTTCTTGTGAATGAATGAAGTACTATTGTTTATCATTTGTTTTTGTTCTTTTTTTATCACTTGTGGCAGCTCTCTATGTGGCGCTGCAATGATGAACTTCGTGCTCGTGCTGATGAATTGCATAGAACCACAAAGAGAGATGTAAAGCACTATATTGGTATGTGACTCAAGCATTCTGTCCATTATTAGGCTTTGTTTGTTACTTGGGATGGGACCACCAGACAAGTTTTCTAGGGATATATACATTGATGTAGAGGGCATTTTTGTCATTTGAACAAACAAGAGATCGAGAGTGAGTTTTGTCCCACCTTTTTGTGCGAGACATAAAGTTACAACTTTTGTCCCATTGACATCAAAGTGAAATCATGCAAACGCAACATGATCAGTTTTGTCCTTCACTGTCTCATGTAACAAACAAAGCCTTTATGAACTTTTATCTTACAAGAATCACCATCTTATATTCTTCAGTTTTATTATCTTCGACTTATACCATTGAAATAATCATATATTGGTCTAAATGTCATAGAATTCTGGAAACAAATTCCTCCAAGTGAGCCGTATCGTATTATTCTCGGTGATGTGAGGGATAAGTTGTATCATACTCGTGAACGTTCTCGTCAATTATTAGCCAATGGGGTTTCTGATGTACCCGAGGGCAAAACTTTCACAAATGTTGAGCAGGTTTGTGGGTCTGAAAAACTTCTAAGTCCTTTTCCAGCATCATCACGTAATCTTTTTTTAGTCTTTCATTTTCCAGCATGTGTTATTTCTCTTTTACTTAATGGGGACAGATTTTAATTCAGTAAGCTATATACGGGTGTTTGATCCAAAAAAAATGACTTAAACCTCATTAAGTCTTGGGTTATTACAAATTTCCGTCGATTGATGTTCATATTCAGATTTCCAAAGTGTGCTGTCTTTTTCTTAAATATTTTAAAACATCCTTTATCAAGGCCTAATGTTGTTTTCTCGTTTTCCATGTAGTTTCTTGAGCCACTCGAGCTATGCTACCGATCACTCTGTGCATGTGGTGATCGACCAATTGCTGATGGAAGCCTTCTCGATTTCATGCGTCAAGTTTCCACATTCGGGCTTTCACTCGTTAGACTCGATATCCGTCAAGAATCCGAACGCCACACCGATGTCATGGACGCCATCACAAACCACCTCCAAATCGGCTCTTACCGAAATTGGCCCGAACAACAAAAACAAGAATGGCTCTTATCCGAACTTAAAGGCAAACGCCCTCTATTCGGCCCAGACCTACCCAAAACCGAAGAAATCTCCGATGTTTTAGACACATTTCATGTCATATCCGAACTCCCATCCGACAATTTCGGCGCTTACATCATCTCAATGGCCACCGCACCTTCCGATGTCCTTGCAGTCGAACTCCTCCAACGCGAATGCCATGTCAAAACCCCGTTGCGAGTCGTCCCGTTATTCGAAAAACTCGCTGATCTCAAGGCGGCACCGGCCGCCATGGCCCGCCTTTTTTCAATTGATTGGTATAAAAATAGAATCAATGGGAACCAAGAAGTCATGATTGGGTACTCGGATTCCGGCAAAGATGCCGGGAGATTCTCTGCTGCTTGGCAATTGTACAAGGCACAAGAGGAGTTGACCCTAACTGCTAAACGGTTTGGGGTGAAGCTCACGATGTTTCATGGTCGTGGTGGGACCGTGGGCCGAGGTGGCGGTCCGACCCATTTGGCGATATTGTCTCAGCCACCAGATACGATTCATGGTTCACTTCGGGTCACGGTTCAAGGTGAAGTTATTGAGCAGTCGTTTGGGGAGGAGCGGTTGTGTTTTCGAACACTGCAACGGTTCACAGCGGCTACACTTGAACATGGGATGAATCCGCCGATTTCGCCTAAGCCTGAATGGCGTAAACTTATGGACGAGTTAGCGATTATTGCTACTAATGAATATCGTTCCATTGTTTTTCAAGAGCCCCGATTTGTCGAATATTTCCGCCTGGTAAGTACTTTAATTTTCATCAGGTTTTGGTTTAATGAATATCGTATTTCCTATGCTGATTAAAAACATTAAACTACTTTTGATTGTTTGGAAAGGCCATTTTTCCCACTGACTGGGTTTTGAACTTAAGTTAGGTTGTTCTGCTAAATTCAAAAAATAGCAACATACTTTAACCGTGTTATTTTTTAGCTTACATTAATCTTTTAGGCCAAATGTGAGAATTAGCAATAAACTTTCATTTATTTGTGCATTATGATATCTTGCCTTTTATTCTATTACAACATTCTACTTTCATTTTTCCTTATAGAGACATTGTGATTTAGAAAATTTACCCAGTTATAGCAATGAAATTTGCATTGATTTTAATGACATTGCTGTAAATAGGTAACTTATTCAAAGTACAATGTTGTAATTCAAAGAAGTAAAGCAGGATGTTATAATAAACAAATCAAAGAAACTACATTGTTATTTCTTGCATTTAATCTTAGTTTGTTTGATTAAAGTGAGAAATGTAGGTTGGATCCTATAATAAATAAGTCAAAGAAAGTACGTTAGTTGTTTCATGCATTTAACCATAGTTTGTTTGATCAAAGTAAGAAATGGAAGTAGGATACTATAATAAACAAATCAAAAGAAGGATACTATAATAAACAAATCAATGAAAGTACATTTAACCTAAGTTTGTTTGATCAAATTCTTAATAAACAGGCAACACCTGAGTTGGAGTACGGTCGCATGAACATAGGGAGTCGACCATCAAAACGGAAGCCAAGTGGTGGGATCGAGTCCCTTCGTGCAATTCCATGGATATTTTCATGGACTCAAACAAGGTTCCATCTTCCTGTATGGCTTGGCTTTGGAGCCGCATTCAAACATGCCATTGAAAAGGACTCAAAGAATCTCGAAATGCTAAGGGAAATGTACAACGAGTGGCCTTTCTTTAGAGTAACTATCGATTTAGTTGAAATGGTGTTTGCCAAAGGGAACCCCGGGATCGCTGCATTGTATGACAAACTCCTTGTTTCCGAAGAACTTTTGCCGTTCGGTGAGCGGTTGAGGGCCAATTATGAAGAAACTAAAAGCCTCCTCCTCTTGGTAATTCATGAATGCCCTTTTCTCTATCTTCCAAGTCCCACCCCTTTTTATAATTTTGTGAAAGTACCTAATTGCCCTTAATGAAGCTTTGGATTCAACTTCCACGCACCTCAAAGATGATCTTTTTCATACAATATAATACAAACTTATTAATAACTTTTTACCAAAGCACAAAGGTCACCATCTAACACTTTATATTTAAAAAAAAAAAAAACAATTATTGAAAAGCACTTTATACTTAATATATTTAACTGATTTATATCTCACACGATGATCATGAGCATGGTATTTGGGATTGTGGGCTAGCTCGGTGGTTGCGGAAGAATAATCCTTTTTACCATGATTTTGTGTAGATTGCGGGACACCGAAATCTGCTCGATGGCGATCCGTATTTGAAGCAAAGACTTAGATTACGAGACTCTTACATCACAACACTTAATGTGCTTCAAGCATACACCCTGAAGCGGATACGGGACCCTAGCTATGATGTAAAGCTGAGGCCACATTTGTCCAAAGAAATAATGGAATCGACTAAACCGGCTGCAGAGCTTGTGAAGCTCAACCCGACAAGTGACTATGGGCCAGGGCTTGAGGACACACTTATCTTGACCATGAAAGGTATTGCAGCTGGAATGCAGAACACGGGTTGAGCATGGCTGCTGTGGTTGTTCGGTTGTTCCTTGTTCACTGGTTTAATGTTAACCAAGGTCTGGTTAATTTGTATTTCAAGATGTTGCGAGTATATCTTAATGTTGAAACCTATGTATGATATGAACTTATGAAATGATCTTTCCATGGATGTTTGCTGGATTATTGTTTCTTATAATATAGTAACATTTAACATTATACATACATTTGAAAGATGATAGAACTGCATTACGGTGACAAACGGGCCTGAGGTTGAGACTTATTACAGATATACGGTGTGATACTAGACCTAGCTCGGAAAAAGGCAGGTCATAGGCTGGTTCCTAAGTTTTTGGTTAGAACTGGACCTGCACAAAAACAAAATAAAAAGCCTAAAAACCCCTATAAGGCAGAATACTTAGAAGATTACGACTATCAAGAAAAGTTTTTATCATAAATAATCCTAAATTTTAAAAAAAATTACTAAGACTATTATCATTTCTAAGTTAGAGAAGTCTAAGGACAGTTTGAGTGCCGGTTCGAACTGATTTTCATTTGGCTTAGATCGTGTATTTAAAACTAAATTACGTACTAGTTTTTTTTTGTAATCTTAAACCTGACCAATCCAACTTCAAACCAAAACAAGACTGTTTCAGGACCACTAGATTCTAAAATTGGTGGATTGGCTTCGGACTACTGGTCTAGACCGACTTGAGACTCCTCGGTCCAAACCTGACTTTGTTTGTAGTCTATTTTGGAGACTGGTCCGGACTAGTTTGTAGTCTAAAATTGGTTGTAATTCGTAAGCTAGGGATAAGCATTTGGACCGGGGAACCGGCCGGAACCGGTACCGGAACCGGAACCGGAACCGGAACCGGATAGAACCGATCGGGCCGGGACCGAGACGATATTCTTGTGGATTTTTGGAACCGGAACCGGTAGAACTGGCAAAAACCGAACCGTATATTGTTATTTCTCGAAGATCGATTCCAACAATAAAGACACAGCAAGAACCAACCGGAACGGGTAGAACCGGCGGTTCGGTTCGGTTCCTATTTTCCACAAAGTTCGGTTCCCGGTCCGGTTCCGGCCGGGCCGGTTCCAATGCTCATCCCTATCGTAAGCCATGGTCGTTTCAACCCCTTTTTAGAATATTGGTTCCTAGGGATGAGCATTTGGACCGGGGAACCGACCGGAACCGAAACCGGAACCGATACCGGAACCGGAACCGGAACCTGATAGAACCGATCGGGCCGAGACCGGGACGATATTCTTGTGGATTTTTAGAACCGAGAACCGGTTGGAACCGGAACCGGTAGAACCGGCAAAAATCGGAACCGTATATTGCTATTTCTCGAGGACCGGTTCCAACATTGAAGATACGGCAAGAACCGGTTCTACTGGCAGTCCGGATCGGTTCCTATTTTCCACAAAGTTCAGTTCCCAGGCCGGTTCTGATGCTCACCCCTATTGGTTCCTATGGCCAAATGATTAGTTGTAACATCCGCAAAATCGTCTTAGAAGTTTTTGTTTTAGTGAAAACAGTTTTTTTTGGGAAAATAATATAAAAATAATAACTAAAAGTTAATAAAAATATATAATAAAAATAATAATAGAAATAAAATAGAAGTTTAATAGAATTAAATTGAGGAAGTTATGTTATAGGGACCAAATTGTCAATTCATGAAATTTGAGATTCGACTCTTATTGACCACATAGGATTTGAATGCCATAATTATATGGGGTTGGGTTAATTATGTAATGTATAAAGTAACTAGTTTGTCTTCAGTCAAAATGGTGGTTTAGGTGTAAGCCTTTGAAGTTGAGGGACTAAATGCTCAATTCAATGATAGTTAAATTTAATGGAGAGTTAACTCATAAAATGAAATAGGATAAAAAATGTTAGACATATTAGGGGGATGGTAATAATGAAAGGATGGAGGGTTAGGAAGTGAAAATGATTAAAATGTAGCTATAAACGCAAAAATATGACCTAAAATATATGATATATGACTCGGTATTGCGATATCACAAGTAAGGACACAAAGGGAATAAATAGGAGAAAAGTAAAAGGTGAAGATCAACAAGATAGTACAATTGAAAAAAGATCCCATTGATTTTGTTTCCTAATCTACAAACATGTATAAAACAAAATCAATCACTTTCTCTTGATGACCACTTCTACTCGGACGGTCGATCAAACTGAAAGTAAGTCGGATCACTTCATTGGTTGGATAGCTTAAGGTCACTTTTCTTGTACTATCATGACTATTTCTATACATTTAAGAAGCAAAGGGAATTTTTGTAAACCTTCCATCAAGCTTGCATATTTCTATAAATTTGCTCATGTACACTCCTAAATTTATTTCTAAACAATGCTATTAGACTTGGACCATTTATATAATTTTGTTAAACATGGGGATCATTTCTATAATTTTACTTAAGAGGGACTATTTATGTAGTTTTGTTGAAACACAATGACAATTATAAATAAGATCTTGCGTTGGCACTATCTCTATAGTTTTTGTGAAACATAGAGATATCTAGTTTTTCTATTAAAGAGGGGTCATTATTATATTTTGTAAAACATCGGGTCTAGCTCTATAAATTTGCTTGGATAGAGACCATTTTGTATTTTATAGAATTATAGGGACAAAATATGAAAATTCATTTGATATAGGGACCATTTATGAAATATTGTTAAATATTTATGAAATTTCATAAAATATAAGGAACATTTCTGTAAATTTAAATTAGAGGGAAAGTTGTATAAATATACACCACTTCATATATTATTTTTTCT